AGAACTCATGCTGCAAATAAAGGAGCTTCTCATCTAAAACAGATACAATGATGGCTGTGCTAAGAGTGTGACTAGACACAGAAGGGAAGCTGGAATTTTCATCTTGGCTAGTAAAACATGAGATAGGTCCCTGCTCACCCTTGTGATACGAAATTTTTTGCAAATTCACGATATTAATAAAGCCAGTCAAGGAAAGGCACACCGTAGTGCATAAGATGGACTTTGCCCCTCCTCTCCTCTCCCTGCTCACACGCCTGGCAAAGGCAGCTGCAGTGCTGTGGAGCAACCAACCTGCCCCACAGTGCAGCACAGCTATGTGACATTATGGGACAGGACTCTGTCTGAAAACAGAGACAGACCCCATTAGCATCCCTGAATGATAAAAGATATTTTTGTCTTCACTTCCATGTAGAATAAGATCACAGCAAACTGCACTGGAGTGGCTAGTCCCATACAAGAAGAGGCAAACCAGTAACTTTATTGACCGCCCACTGCCACTTTTAACATCTGCCTGCATTCACACTCTGCCCAGAATACCCTGCAAGTAGGCCAAGTCATGAATTGTGACTTGCTGAACACTGGCTCTGTCTCCCTTCTGCCTGTGTTGCGTTGATGCTGGTGGGATGTGACCTGGAACATGGAGATGTCTGCCTCCCTCCTGGCAACTTGCTCCGCCCTGTGTCTCCGCTGCAAGGATAACCATGCACCAGGGTGCCAAGAAATCCCAGTGACAAAGGAGCTTCAAGGATATTTAAAGGTGTTTTTTTTTTTTTTTTTTTAATTACAGGCCTTGAGCTGAGGTGAGACTGTAGGTTTGGAAAGGGCTGCTGAGTGCTCCCCTGCCTTTCCACAAGCAGAGGTGGTGCCGGTGTAAGCCGAAGGCGCAGCTTGCATCAGGCTGCACCAGCGCAAAGCTGAAAAACCTGTCCTGCAGTGCAACTGCCCTGGCTCTCCTCCACCCTGTTACTTCCTCGTACAAGGCCGTGGAGCAGCATCTTGAGACACACACAAGATCCTTTTATCCCAGCAGGACCTGCCATGTTAGTGCTTCAAAGGGAATGATTTCACTGGTGCAACAGAGCAGCAGAAGCACAGTAGTTAGGGACTAAACGCCAGCATTAAGAACAAGGCATAAAAGGTCACTTCTCAGCCACAGCCTGAATATCTATTGAACACGGAATAGGCAGCTAGAGAAGAGGAGCATTCAACATGCCATGAATGGCTGCCTTGTAGATTCATTTTGTAGGAGCCACACATGTGGAAGCCTGTGTCCAGCAGTGGAAAAATCTCACTAACCTATTTTTATCATTGCCAGTAAAGTCTGGCAACTGTCTAGATGTTCTAGGTTCATTTAAAAGTGACTTTTGATAGGGTTCAAGGTCCTCACTGCTGGCAGTTCAAATTAGGTCATTTCCTCAGAGCTGCCAACAGGCAGAAACTGAAGGAGTGGCTATTTTATAATCATCATAATTATACGGTGGCCCTAGGCATAAACCAACCCCTAAACATAGAAACCCAAGACAACCCAGCTTGGGCAGCGCTAAGTTGGTGCTTGTGCTCCTTAGTTGGAGCAGCAACTCTCACCCAGGGCCAGCAGCCCCCGGCCCCCCTGGGGCTCACGGGGTGTCCCTCAGAGGCAGCAACAGCCTCATGGACTTTACTCCGACTTCAAAGCACCTGGCTCCCAGCAGAGCATCCAGGGGCAACACCACACAGCCACCTCCTGCCAGGGTGCTCGGACCCCTGCCTGCACCTTACCAGCCTTCTGCCAGCAGCAGGCTGGCAGGGAAAAAGAAAGAAAACGGGATTAAAAAAAAAAAAAAAAAAAAAAAAAAAAAAAAAAGGATGCTTTAGTACTTTGAGCAAGCTCTCAGCACTGCCCGTATCGTTGCCTACAGCCGGAGGCTTGCTAGCCAGCTGTCTGCACAGGCTTGCAAGCCCTGCCTTCAGAGCTTGTAAGAAAACCGGGCCGGGCTCAGTTTTCTCCATGGAAACTGCATCTGACTCACACTCAGCGCTGGGATTTTAGTCCCAACCACTTACTTGTTTTCTGCTCCTCCCCCAGAGCAATCGCTCTGAGCCCAGCTCCAGCAAAGTTTGCTTGGATTTACAAGTTCAGCTGAAAAAGCAGTAGTGGAGATGTACAGGCACTTCCCACAAACTATGTGCAAGCACTTCATATTATTTTCTCCTGAGGGGTGGAGGGGGTGAAGTATAGTCCTGAGTAGGATAGCAGGTCAAAGTAAAGCCAGGCTTTTCTGTCTACTGGAGCAATTCCTTTAGGAGCTGTTTTCAAAATCACCCTGCAATTAACTGCATTCTCCCCTTCCGCAAATACATCTCTACACCCCTGATGAGTTCGTCTATTATTGCTGAAATGTAGTCAGAATGTAGTACGATGAATTTAAATTCTTAAAGTCTTTGAGAGGATAGGATTTATTTCCCCTCCCAACTGCGTTAGACTCACATCTTTCTTTCCACTATTGCCAGCTTCTTCCCACCTCCCACTCCCCTCCCACTTTGCATGGACCTCCTGTCATTCTCCCTTGTACTCAATTACGGTGCTGGTGTGCTAGGGTTCCCGTAAAATAACAACATGCTGTTCCACAGCAGCTCCGCTGTAAAGGAGGAAGGTATTTTCCAGCAATAAACCCCGTCCTCATGGAAAACTGGCACCGCCCGGCTTTGTTACACCTCCTGACACTGCTGAACATGCAGCTAGCTCTGTTCCTGAGGCAGACTAGGGCTCAGTTCCTGAAGTCTAAAAATCTTTTTTTCTGGCATAGTTACCTTGTAGATCACCAAATCTAGCATTCCTCGGGACTTCGAGTCCTTGTCCCTTAGTCAAACTTTTATTTTCTTAAGCTTGCAACAGCAGATATGCTGTTTCCTGGTGCAAATTCCCCTATTGTGCATGTGCTCTTATTTTTCCCCACTGTCCTTGGCTAGCTTATAACATATAAGCAGCCCTATCCTTTAGTGGTTTGGCTTTATCTTCCCTTGTTTTCCTCACAGCAGCAAAGGGGCACAGCTGGCAGCAGCCTCAGAGTAATACAGTGCAGAGCCCACCAGTATTTCCCCATCTCTGCAAGCCCAAACCCAGCAGCAGCCTGTGCTCTGCCACTTCACCACACATATTTCATCGCCTTGTACAATCTTTGCATAACATTATCCATTTAACAGTGTTACAGACAGTGTTTTGTGTTAGTGCCTAACAAAGGACTCATTCCCATTACCAGTCATCATCTCTTCTACCATCCCAATCCAGGCAAGTATCTAGACCAGGACTGCTCTGATGCCACAGCTCTTTGCTATCCACAAGCAATTCCCATAGATGTACAGTATGTAGTGTGACATTTGGCCACAAAACATAGCTACATTCGGCAAATGTAGTGCAAAGGATTAGCGGCACCTGTGTTTAAAGAAGAAATATGGTCATTCTTGCTGCTTAAGCTCTTATTTCTGGAGTGGTTTCTCACATTCCAGTCAGGCTTTAAGGTCTTAACATAGTTACACCTTTCTGTTTAGCAGCAGGGAAGCTAGGGTAACATACAAAAGTAAAATAATTGCCTCTTCTATTTTCCATCATCCTATCCATTCCTCCCAATAGACATTACATCCCACCTCTAGCATATTCTTTTCCTACTCCTGATTTTTTTCCAAGCATCAGTACTCGCTCCTCTGCTGACCCACTGAATCAGGACAGACCTTTTCTTAACAGTGCTGTCTCCTGACTCACTTTGCTTTCCCTCCCCCTCTACAAGCATTACAACACCATTAGTCACTTCTGCCACAGCACATGAATGGAAAAACAGGATCACTCTGACATTGTCCCGCAGTGTTTCTTCTTCAGTATTACAATTTCCCCATTCCTATTTGCCAGAAAAATCTATTATCTCTTTTGTACACTTGAGCTTCTACATATTACTTCACAAGTCACATTCTGCTCCGGCTTCCTCAAGAGAATCCTGACCTAACTTGAAGGTGGGAACTCACTCCATACTTGGACTGTCAGTGCTATACACACAGACTTTCAGTGCTGTCATTACTTAGGACCAAATTCTTCAGGAAATTCAGTCACAACTGCTACTTGTAAAGTAAAACTTCTCATCATATAACTCAAGTATTCATTCTAGGTGAGCTTGCAGGTCTTAATATGACTGCAAACAGGTTTTGCATCTGTAGTTCATGTTCTTGCTAAAAGGAAAGTAACACTCAGGTGAGAAACAGTAGCTCTTCTCCGGTAAGAGGACTTGCCCATCTGTTAATTACTCAGAAAACACCAACCTACACACATAGAATGTTCAAGAAGGGCTAAAGATTGGGCTGTAGGACTTGAGTATGGGGGGAAGAGGGCAGGCATCAGAAGCACGAAGTGGTGCAGTAAGCACTGTGCTTAAGGGAGCAGCATTGCAAGGTCCAACTCACAGGAAGCCCCCATCCAGCTTCCATAGAAGGCAGCAACAGTGGAAGGTATAATCTTAAATCTTCCGGATATTCAGTTGACCTGGATGCCAGTTTGAGAGCTTCCTCTGTAGCTGTCACCCAAGCCCATCTTAGGAGCTGAGGTGCTGAGCCTACGGCTGAGTCCTCAGCACCCTAGTTACAACCCATTGCAGTTTCTTGGATGTTGAGAAACACTGCTAGAGTTGGACTACAGCCATGTCGGATGTTGGTGACCCGAACACACGCACCAACCACGGAGCAATAAACCCAAGGGCAGTTGAAATCAGCAGTAAACTTTCACTCTGGTTGACTGCAAGTCACCCCGGCTCTTCCAGGTGCCAGGTTCAGTCTCATGCCCAGAACTGCACAGCTACCAGAAAGATGCTACATCTCAGTCCTGCAAGAGCGCAAGGACAGGGTAGGTCTCAAATTCCCATGAGATTAGATTTTTCCTTTCAGGTTCTCTCATATACCCAAGGAGGAAAATTAGATCAACTCCTTTCTGGAGTTACTCCAGTCTCTGTAAGACACACAAAAGCATGATTACCATTTGATGTTTTTGAAATCCAGACTTTTTTTTTTTTTAAAAGGAGGCCCCATTAACACAGAATAGTGCAACATGTTACAGAGGAGAGCTGTATGGTTTGCATAACCCCTTAGACAAGTGACAACAGGTAACACAAAGTTGGGCAATACATTTGTGCATTAGTCCAGAGCTACAGCCAGATCCTGACTCCCAACAGTTCTGGTATTTATTATGAGAAATATCAATCTCCTTCGAAGAGAAATGTGGGAACAAGCAAGGACTACTAAGAGACATTTGTAGCATCTAGAGAACAGAGACCAGAAGCTCCTAGGAACACAGCTGAGATACTACAGCAGGGGAACATCAGATACAGGTATAGCACATCAGCTGGCTGGTAAGGGTCCAAGTCCATTGGCAGCTCCCACCAGAAGGTATTTTAGAGAAAACACACACTTAAGCCATTTAGAGTAGAAGTACAAGACAAATTGTTAATTCTTCAGGCTAAGGGTTCCACACTAATCTCTCTGCTCCCTTCCATAAGGATTTTGAAACTGAAACTGGATAGCCACAACTCTGCAGTTGCTGCTTGCAGCAGCAGCTAGAGCTGTACAGTAATTTGCATGCAACTTTTTTTTTTTTTTCCACTTGGAAACCTGAGATTTGGCACACATGCTGTAAACCCCTCGAGATTGTACTTCATTAGCTTTGGAGAAACAAAGCACAAAGCCAGCCACTGAGAAAAAACCTGAGCATACACTATGGGAATCTGCTTTGTCAAGGGACTGAGGCCATGTCAGATTCCAGGGGACAGAGTTACATCAGCGGGCAGGCAGATATAAGAAAACCCAGCTGGGTCCAGGGTACAGCCCAGCCTGTTTGCATCAAAGTACCACTGCTCGCCTATCACCAGCACGATGGCCATCCTTGGCCACCCTGGATGAAGATGACAGTAAAAGTGTTACAGCGGTAACGTTTTAAGTATATAATTAAGAGCTGCTTTTGTTCACACACCCCAAGGAAAGGAGGAATGATGCCACCTTCCTTAACATGCTCTGACAGTCATCTTCCATTCCTTGGAGTTCCCTACAGTAGGGGCATTGGCATAGGATTTATTTCCTAAAGCCCTAGTAATTTAACACTTAACATGTTATGAAAGTTCAACTCCATGCTACTCAAACAGCATGATTAATAAGCATAGTAAAATCTCCTCTCCCCACAAACATACAATACATCTTACTCTTTATTAAGTATCAAATTGTCTCCAACATAAATTACATCCAAATTATGTAAGTTTCAAGAAAGTCAGATATTTTATGTACAATATTTGTCTTGAGTCAGATAACTTTATCATTTTAACCTATAACAAAAAGCAAACCTACATCAGTACCAAATAAAGCATTAAAAAGGTAACAAATATATAACTTTTTAGAAATGCTTTCAGAATGCTAAAGTTAATGACAAATAATTTTATAGTGCAGTAGTCCTGGGTTTTTAGCTCTTAGACCATTTCTCTGTTTTTGCGGATAGCACAGCAGAGAACCATACTGAATATCATGCCGAAAATCTGTAAAGAAAGCAAATGCATTAGAAATTTGGGGACCAAAGCACATTCTTATATTAACATGTGGATAAGCATAGGTGCTCTTCCAAGCCCAGAGGCCCTATTGATGCTTCATTCTGCAGTTCATGTCCCTGCCTCCCCCTTCCCCTCTACCCCCAAATTTCAGTTCATTCTCATGAATCCCCTTCACCCTCAATACTTCAAAAATAGATCAGCTATGAACCACCGCTGTATCCCCTAAGAAACTGTTGATCATCTAAGCATATCTGCACCCGTGTCATACTTTCCTCTGGTTAAGTTAAATAAAAAAGTGCAAATTTTCTTACTAGCACTGTTCTCTAGCAGAGGCTTTAACTTAAAGAAAATAAAAGCAAGGATTCCCCATGAGATACTAGGATTAAGAAGCGGGCAGGCAACATGACCAATACATCTTCACCTGATATATACGTGCACTACCAATATAACTTCCCCACTGCTAAAACTACAAGGAGGCAGATCCTAAGCCAAAGCAGAAGCAGGGAGGTCCAAGAAACCCCACCCTCTGCGCTGCCTCAGGGCCCCACAGCACACACTCTGATCCTGCCTCTACTTGTCATTAGTGGGATGTGGGATGGGCTCGTGTACTGCCACGCCAGGCCCTCTTCAAGCTACTTCTGCTGTAAGAATCCTTTGGGCCATATAGCTACCCTCTAAATAATCCGGAAACTCACCATTATTACAGCAATGCCAAGGCCCACTGCTCCAATCACATTCAATTTTGAATTGAAGACATCATCAATGGCATCAGGGCATGACTGAAAAGAAACAGACTGTTCATTAGTGTTTCATACATACGAAAGCTTTGTTTCTGCTTCCTTGTTTGAGCTCAAGTCTGCTGACTGAGGCTACACCTTCGACCACATTTGCTTACACTGGAGATGAAGATTCATCTTTTGAAAGCTGCTTTGAACTGGCTTTTATTTTCACATCTTTAAAGATAGCCAGGGATGTTCCAACACAAAAGTTAGTGGAGAAGTTTAAATCTACTCTTCAGGTATCTAAACCTCTTAACTTCACCTTGGCTACAGCAGGATTCCCTTCTCAACACCCGCAGTTGATCAGGTAGATCAGGACCAACAGCAGTTGTACCAGACTTGGCTTGTTACTAATGGCTGTCAGCATTTAAGCTGCTGTATTGCTCAGCCCTTCTCAAAATAGATTTGAAGCCGTTCTTGATTATTTCCAATTGCTGTTGTAATTTTGCAGACTCCTTATGAACACATGGTACATGGGAATGGCAGGATTTCTTGAGCTGCACACGTACAAGGCAGGCTATAGGTAGATGCAAAGACTTGCCAGTTTGAAGCTCCCAGGACAATGAATTACCATTGCAACTAAACAAAACTTTAAGTACAGTCCTTTGGGGAAAGACACATGGTAGCTAAGAAAAAGAACAAGAACTTTTAGGAAGGTATAAATCTTAAAGAGCCTGGTAGCAGGTCAAAGTTCCACCCCAAATCCTGTCCTCCTTATTCCAGTAGTAGACTACAGTGAGCTGCTAAAAACTACTTTTTTCTTTAGTTGTTCCTTATACAGTCCAGAAGGAAAGACTGAATCAAGTATTAAAGGGATATACTGGAAAGAGTTAATTAGTAAAATCAGAATATCAATACAGCACTGCTTCCTAGAGGCACACCGATCAGCCACACCATTACATCCCTTTAACCTTGCAGTCTATCACTCTTTTTCTTGTTGAGACTAGGCCATAATCACAAAATGAAGTCAGCAGATGAAGTTGAAATACACTTAGCAGAATAAAAGCAAACAAAGCCTGCATATTGGTCTCAGCTACACCCATATAGTCTAACTCACAGCAGATTGTATGAGCAGCACCAAAGATACATATTGTAATGTCTCATGTGGTCATCACAAAATCATCTGTAGTGCAAAGGAAGAGCACAAGTAATGTGTAAAAAAAAATTAAGTCATTAATTGAATTCCTGCATCTTAAGAACTTATCTTCTAGGGGAAGGCTCATACAGGCTGTCTTGAAGCATGAAGCAAGAACACAAGACATTTGTAAGAAAAAAAAGAGGAAAAGGGGTAGTTAAAAACTATACAAGATGCCTCTCCTGTAGCTGTGGCATATAGGGACCTTTGCAGCAATATTCCAACAGGGGAATCCAATTCAGAGAACTGGCTTCACAGTGACACCCACCTAAAGAGGCCACCAATGCATTACACACACCCCCCCACACCCTTTTCCTTGCTAAAACTTCAGATCTACGCTCACCCCACTCTGCTTCTCCCTAACCAAGAGGGGAGAGGGGAGGTGACAGCTCCCATGCAGCACCAAGGTGCTCTGGTGATAGAAGCAGGAGAACAGAGTTCTCCAACACTTTTTTTTTTAGGTGAAGTTTAACCTTATGCTGTCCATTATGCCAGTGAGTCTAGTAACACACAGACTGCACATTTCCCGTGTAAGTTCAGATTTCCTGCTGACTCCACTTGTTCTTCCTACAATAACAGTATGTTGATTTTCCACAGCCAGATTGGTTATAGAGATAGGTTGCTAAGTAAGTGTGACATGGGAATTTCCCATGGACTAGAAGGGTTTATTCAGAAATGTGTTCCTTATTCCACTCAGCTGTTGGTGAATTAAGTCATGTTTTACCATTACAGAAAGTGACTCGAGCATGGTCTTCTTTGGACAGGTGTCCATGAACTGCTGCTCGAGAGCTCCTGTAAGACCACAGCAGTCTAGCTACAAGAGAAAAGAAGAAAAGAGAACCAGGTTAATTAATCCATATTTTTGCTCTGTAGTTGGTAAAAAGAAGAAAGAGATTACATTAAGTTTTATTACAGACTTTAGTCAAATTTTCTTAAAAGTCCTGCCAATGCAACTGCTATAAACCTAATTTCAAAAAAAAGCCTTTATTGCATTAAAGGACAAGATTCTGAAAGGAAGAGCTAGATCTCATTCAGTATATAGACATTAATTTTGGTGACAGCATGTACTCCTTACAGGTAAGGATGAACTCCTGACATGCAGGTATGTCTACTATGGTGCCTCTATATCAATGCCACAGAGCTAATGTCCCAGCTTGGTTCTGAGTTTTAGGGGAACTAATTCTATGCATTTCAGAAGTTCAGACTGACAAAAAGGCATACTGAGTTCACTGCTACTATACAAAAAGATCTTCTCTGCAATTTGTTACTAACACTCCTTTGGTTTCTTCTAGTTAATAGGGTATTAGACTTTAGAGGGGACCAGATGACATGGAGAACAGTGTGTATGAGCTGCATTACTGTCTAGTTAAGTATAACCATGTACTTACAGCTAGCTGAAATGCTTTCAGGGTCTCTCTGGCAGGTGCTTGAGATCTCTTTTCATAGGATTCCTTGTAGAAGTCCTTTAACTCTTCAATAACCTACAGGATAGCAAAGAATTGTGGTGTATGACAGTTTTACTTTATTATTGATTATGGAAAACTCGAGTCAGTTATTAAAAACTCTTCAACCTGTAATATCCATCCTTTTGACATGTAGAAAGAGAGGGCGGACAGAATTTCTCACCCAGAACAGGTGAGCCTAACTGGTACACCCACCTTAAGCACCACACCTAAGCAGATAAGATTCAGTTTCCCTTCCAGGGCTCTGAGCTTCTAGGAGCGAGAACCACGTCTTTGCCCACTGGTCACAAAAAAAGCATTCCCTATTCCCTTCTGTACAGGAGAAGTTGCTCTATTCCCCTGTTGTATAATACAAGCAGAAGAGGAACCCTGATCATCAGGCACCTTATTTTGAAACAAATCAGAATCTCGACTGCTTATGAGGGGACAGCCCAGATCAGTCATGTTTTAGATGCAGAAACGTTCAATCCATAGCTGAGCCAGCTCATATCTAGGAGTGCTAAAGCTTCACTGATGGCCTGCTTCATTTCACAGCTCAGCCAGGTACTGCCTGGAGGGCATCTCCAGCATGCAACAGCATCTTGGATTCTGGCTTCTCTCTACAGTCTCATTTTTAAATATTAGAGTTTAATTTCTTGTATTGTTTTTCTAGAATGCATCTTCTTCCTCTCCCCCAAATTCCCTGGGTAATGAGGATTTGACTAGTACTGGTACAGATTTTAGTAGGCTGGTAACTGTTGGCAGAGCCCTAGAATCACAGAATGGTTTGGGTCAGAAGGTTGGGATCTTTAAAAGGTCATCTGGTCCAGCCCACCTGCTACGGGCAGGAACATCCTTCACTAAGAGACAAGGTTGCTCAAAGCCTCATCCAACCTGACTTTGAACACTTCCATTGATGGGGCATCCCCAAGTTCTCCAGGCAACCTGTTCCAGCATCCCACCACCCTGGCAACTTTAAAGAGTAACCTACCTTTTCTTTATTCGCAAATCCCCAGATCGCAGCAGCAATTTCAAGGGCAAAAATCACGAAAAGGAAGAGGAAGAACTAAAAAACACAGACCTCAGCATTAAGACCACAGCACCACAAAATAGCATCATATATATACTGCAGGCTTGCCCAGTCCCCAGCATCCAGTCTTGGGGGAACTGTCACTCAACCAGGTTCTAATTGGAGGTCTGAGACACTGGTAAGACTAGAAAAGGTGACACAGTGCCCTGGCTCAGCACATCTCCCCCGGAGTGTCAGAAAGCCTGGCAGTGTTTTCCAAGCATAAGTCCTCCTTTTTGATCAGTGTTAATTAAAACCAATTATCTGTTAACTCAGACTTTGAAGTTGCCCAGGTCTCAGACACATCACAACAGCTGACACCAATTCTTTTCTCTGGTTTGTCACTGCTATTGCTTTAGGAGTCATTACTTAATACCTAGCTTGCCACCAGCTCCCAGGGAGCCAATGGTCACTTTGTTGTGTATCCCATAAAAGAGAAATAAAAATGTCATCCGTGTTTGACTACCAGCTCTAAAACAACACTACCATTCAAAGGCACTTTAAAGAGATGTTCAGAATTCCAAAGGGCTAGAGATATTTTGCAAAAAAAATATTAAATTAAATTCTTCCATGACACAGAAGGGAATTGTTCTTTCACTGGCTATAGCAGTAGTCTTTCATTAACAAAGTCTTCTGGTTATTTGGATGAGTAGTTCCACAAGTGTACAGATGTGCATGAACCCAATAAGCTCTACCAGTCCCTCCAGTCTGAAAACAATGAGGTTGCACTCCAATAATTGTCTTGCAGAGCAGTTATCGACTAGAAGAGCTCATCCTGTGATTAGAAACAGTAGAAGCTTGTTGTTTCAAGGATCAAATACCACTGTTCTGGTCTCGAAGATTAAAGGTTGTACAGCCTTCAGAGTTCATGGCAAACTTTAATAAATATCATTACTCTTATCAACATTTTAGTTCTGTTTTCACACATACTCCTAGTCTTGATACTACATGTCTGAGTATGTCACTAACTCCTGAAGTTGTCCTGTATTCAAATACAACACGGACATTTGGGTTTAAGGCCAGAAATGGAAACTCTACTTATATAACATTTTAGGATTGTGTAGGAGACCATGAATTTAAACATTGCAGAGCCAAAATAATCAGCATCTGCTACCCTTTAACTGCACTGTAATATTTTTCCTTCTTTTCTCATCGTGCTACTAAAAATTTAAACACCACTCTGAACACTTACCAAGCCAAGCATACACTGAGATTCCTGCAATGCACCACAGCATCCCAAGAAACCAACCAGCATCATAAGTGCACCAGCTCCAATAAGGATGTAAACTCCTAGGGAGGAGAAATAGAGAGACACATGTATGCAGGCTGGCTGAGACCTCAGCAGTGAGGTATGAAGCGAGTTGCTCCACAAACAGCATTTGTAGTTTTTGCTAAGGTTTAAGTTTCTTTACTAAGGTGTTCCGAGCAAAAGCGTGGCGCTTAATTTTCAATGCGAACACATCTCAAAACTTACGGGGAAATGTATTTATAAATAAAAACTTCAACTTCTAACAATTAATGTGTACCACTACTGCAGTTTCACAAGTTTTAGAAAATGGGCAAGATAAAGCCATCTAAGACAAACTGTAGGACACATTTTAAAACTGTCTCAGAGACAGAGTTATGAATTTATCAGATGAAGGCTGTGTTGCAGTTAGAGGCAGCTGGAACTAGTGATTTATCAACATCTGAGAAATCTTGAAGCATGTTACCTCTAGGAGAATGGGTATTAAAAGGCAACATAATCATCTGTCAGAAGGCTTTAAATGCTTTCCTATCCAGCCTTCCCATCGGGAAACACTGAATTATTCCACTAGTCATGGTGGTACAAGCCAACACTTCAGCTGCCTAACTTGACAGCCTCTCTAGCTACAAGAAACTCAGAAGTATCTGCTTTTGCAAAAGCAGAAAATGCTTCAAACTCTAAGAAGTGGCTGAGCCTGTAGATCATTCTGCCCAGAACTTAGCTAGTGAGTCTGTTGGAGCATAGAGAGCAAACATTTCTGGGCTAAAAGACTCCCTTTATGCCCAATCCTCTCCTAAATTTGGGAACTGCCATCTTAAGCATCACAGCTACTAACTGGTGAGAGAAGCAAGATGTATCGAGCAAAACAACTCCCAGAAGGTGGCAAGGAAGTATTATTGGGGTGGTGAAACATGAGACAATCAGCACACAGCATGCAGAATTAGTATGACATTTCTATCAATATACACAGAAATACAGTTTTGGACTTTAGAAACACTATCAAAATTATCTAAAGAAAGCCACATGTAAGCATTTGCAAATGATATTTTCTAGATGCAAACTGATAAGATTAGCTACCTAAATAAACGTATACTTGATTAAGCATATGTAAGTCACCAAGTCTGACATTTCTTATCAGCAGGAAATTCTGGCACTGTTTTTTTTAAACTTTCCATTTTGAAAAAAGAATCCATCAAAACATCTTACTTCAGTTTATTTTCAGTAATATAGAAAACTTTTGAGGAAACTTGTGCTGTTGAGTGCAAACTGACAGATTCCTCTGGTTTCCTATTAGAAACTGCAGTCAGTAACTACTCTCAGAAAAATGTTAAAATGGTAATTCCTACTAAACTTTTTAAAACTCAGTTTAACCTACAGAGATTTCAAGTAGGTTTCACTGGCTGTATTCAGCCAGTAGCTTAAGTATCACAACATAAAACTTTTATGTTTTAGGAGGTGAAAGGATTGTTTTAGACTTCCTAAAGTAAGACTTGTTAAATATTCAGCTCAACGGCTAAGTTTAGAATTCTGTTCACTTTCCAAGGTCCAGTTGAAAACACCTGGAAATCTTCCTGAAAGCTGCAATAACCACCCAGTTTGCTACCATGCCAGCATATCAAAGGTGAAATACAAGCTTTCTCACAGGTAAGCCATCTACATTCCCCTGGCCTCCTCATGAAGTTGCACAAGCATTTTGATATTCCTAACTATGGTCTCTAACAGGCCTACCTCACCATTCCCAACAGTACTCCCCGTAGGCACAGGCTGTCCTGGTACTATAAGGCTGCAAGGGGAGTTGCACCTCCCAGTATGCCTTATGCAGTCTTTACTGACCTTTCAGATACCAGTTGGGGCGCTGGGACAGGCTGAATAGCTCACCACAGGAGCCAGTTTTCTTGGCAAGAGAAAGACCAACCTAACCATGCTGTGGATGGCTAATGAGTGATGCCATACAGGACATGGCAGACCCAGGTGCTACAGGGATGTGAAATAAGTATATAAGGATTGTCCAAATCAAGAGTGATACCTATGTAAAAAAAGTAGATATTTGAATTTGCCTTTTTCCCATTTGCTAGAGGTCTTCAAATGCAGCTACTTGGTTTCAGAAAGGGTCTGAGCACCTACAGGTGACAACAACCAAAGCAGCATGTGTTCCTCTACCCAAGGCTGAAAGTGACTGTAGATATCAAAATGCTACAGTTAGAATAAAATCTGATTCAGTTAGGAACTCCTGCAACATTAGAATAACTGAAAACATGCCTGTTTGTCCCCTAATTGGTAATGTTGTAAAACAGAATATATCAAGGAATAACTTCTACCCAGCCTAACTCAAGCTACATTGAGCTCTGTTGCCTCTAATAGACCAAGACATTTGTGCAGCCTTCCCACTATATTCAGTATAATTTAGCATACATAGGGCTGTAAGACAACAGTACATATGCTCCTTCTGAGAGAGGAGGTGATAGAATTGTGCTTTTGGGTATCTTAGGTTGGTCACTTTGGAGGAAAAAAATTAGTTACTGATGTCATCTGTGACTACTCAGAGTGAAACTTTGCTTACTCATTGTGAGAAGCATCTGAAAGAGACATCTTCCATGTCTACCACAAATCCCTGGGATTACAAAATGCCTAGCAACGGCAACTAAAGAGGAACTGCAAGGTTTAAGCTGGGGAAAATAGGAAGCCATACAGAATGCATAAAGAGCCAAGAAACTGCTGGTGTGACACAGCTGCTGTCTGCACGAGAGCTCACAACAGAGGCTGGTCCCTGCACCAGCCAGGGGAAACTGATCTCTGCTCCATTCAGGCTGTTTAGGGCTGGTTTGTCTTTAGCCTTTGAGGAAGGCTAAGGTCTCTAGGCAGTCTGGAAATCAGGGCACGAAGGTGTGATCTGTCGCCTTCAGACATTTTCTAGCTTACCTGTGTAAAACGTTGTGTTGTTAGATTCCAGTTCAAAAATGCTTTTGGTCTGTGAATCAAACCGAAGCCATAATCCAATTGCAAGAACTGCTGTCCCTGCAAGCTGTAAGAACAAGTAAGCCTTGTTAAATAATAGCAGTTATAAATAAATAAAGATTATAATACCAATTCACCCTTGCATTATTAGCATCAGCAGTAAGCACAGGATACAGCTCTTATTTAAAAAGGTGGTGCTAAAGAACCAGCATGAAAGGATGGGGAAACCAAAACAAGAACAAACTTAGTTCCTAACATGAGGCATCTTGTTGACAGATTCGTTTACATATTAAACTACAATGCCACACAAGAACAATGACATTCTTGTTCTTTACTGAAAATACCCAAGGTCTACCAAGGTGCCAAGTGTCAGTATTTCCACTGACCCCTCCACCCACTGTTTTATTCTGGGGGACTGCAATGACATTGCACAGCTTAGTGATCTTAAATCTTCACACTGAAGGACAAGGGTATCACAAGAAAGTATGCCTTGTAAGACCAGCTAAAAGCTTCAGCTTATTAAACAGGCTGGTAAGAGTTCAGTGTACCACAGTATCTTGTTTAGAAAGAGTGCTCTCTTGCAAAACAGGATAAACCCAATCCAGTAAGTTACTGCACTGACAGGAAGAATAAAACACAGGCTGCTGAAATAGCAACATTGCTGTGTGCTGATCTGCAGCAATGCAATCAAATTTTGGATAATATTTAGGTTTATTTTATTATCATCTCTGCCTGTGTACCTCCAGGTTCCTCTTCACATTGGTGCCTCTTAACATTGTTTACGTCAATTTGTTGTCTGTATAATTTAGCTTCTGGATGAAACATCTGGCAGAATGCACCAGAGAAATGTTGCAAGAAAGAGCGAATTGCACTCTGGTAAGGCAAAGGCTAACAGTTTGCTTTAAACAGACTGAATCCACCTCACTTGCAGAAGGGAAGAACCTGGGGTCATCTAGCAAACAAGGGGAAACAGCCCAACACAACAGGACAAACTAGAAAGCTGGAGCATGTGCTTCTCGGCTCATCCCTCTCCCCTTTAAAGGCCATTTAACTATCAAAAAAACTCTACAGAAGTGAGATGAGGACAGAAATACCACACATTGCAGCAGACATTAAAAATTTAAACTTGAGTGAGCAATAAGCTTAGAAAGTCTGGAGCTTTGGTTAGGTGAAGCATGCATGAAAAGAAAAAACCCCAAAGCCTTATCTCTGATAAGAAATTCCTTCTAGAAGGGAACAACATTCTTGATTCACCTCCAAGAAACTGTAAATTGTGTATTTATGTCAATTTTTAGTGAGAATACAGAAGGCATTCCCACAGAAAGCACCTGTGGGTATAATCTTTCCACTCCAAGCCCAACTCCCCCAGCTCTGCTCCCCGTGGGGAGCCCAAGAGCCCTTTCTCCCTTCCATGGCAGTGTTAATGTTCAAGGGCAGGCACAGCTTTGCTGCCAATGGCTGTCTCCTCCAACCTCCTAGGCTTGTTCCTCCAAAACAACAACAACAACAAATAAATAGGGAGAGCTTTGAAGATTCACACAGGACAAAGATGGAGCTAAGTGAGTGTTTGAGCGAAGGCATATATATCCCCTGTAGCTTCTCAGCAGAAAGCACCCAGTGCTAAAGGGCTGAGGTATCAGTGAAGAAAAAGAGAGGCCAGACGTGCCAGAAAAACCAGCAATTCTTGTATGGCAGGCACCTGGCTCGAAAGTTTGACTCAAAGAGGAGCTGCAGGGTTTTAGCTGGGAAAAAGATGAAGTGATACACAACACAGAAGGAGCCAAACCCAAATGGAGATTTCCAGGCCTACGTAAAAGGCACTTTGTTGGTGTCAGGGGCGTGTAGGCACAGGCTTACTCACAAAGCATGCAGCAAGAACAAAGCCTCCACATACCTGCCGCTTTCCTTCTTAGGGCTACGCTGACAAAATAATTTTAAGTTATACCCAAGAACTTTGGTAGTATACAGTATGTCACAACAGTGTTATTTCAATTTCTTGTGCCACAGCAGCACCGCAGGCAAAGGGAGAGGAGCAAGAGTGGGACTGGCAAAGAGGAGGGTTGCTGCTCTACCTGTGCTCCCTGCTACAGCGTCACTTAAAAAAAAAAAAAACAAAAAAACACATTTGCAATCTCATCTTACTTCAGTTCAAGAGCCAGGAAGGCTTAGTGATGGAAAAAACTCACTCACTGGTTCTAGCCTACAGTTAAGTCACACAGTATTTAATAATACTTTGTCCAAGACTCACTACTTTCCTGGGTCATCAGTCTTCAGCTTTTATAGGCATCCAGATCAGCAGCAGTAGAAGAAGCTGCCTCCAGCCCCTGCTTGTTTTGCTAGGGACTCACAAACTGCAAAGCCAGGAGTCTGAGCACATCCAGCTACCCACACCCATACGCGTTCATAGTTTGACAAGCCCCTGTGTTAGGGTACAGAGTTCAGCAGCACCACTGCAAACCGAGCAGGGCACAGTAAAGGACTCCAAAACTAAAGCCCAGAGCGGATTCCCCCAGCAGACCTTTAATGCCAGAGTATTCAAACTGTCAAGAAACTAAGCCATACAACCATGTAAATAATCTTTAACAGTCCAAGCAAAGCAGAAGGCTCAATTAATGATCTCTTCAGAAACAAACTGGTTGGTTAACATTAGGGAAAGATGAGTTACCTATTATGGCTTCTTTCAAAAAAAAGAAACTAAACTCTGGGTGGTGGGGGGGAAGGGTTAAGTGGTATGTTTGCTCCTCGGGAAAGCAGTCATCCTGGGAAAATGTGAACATGATCACAAGAAGGCAAGAGACTTATTAAGGGATCACAGAACAGTGATAATATTTAATGCCAGTGAACTGCTCCACGTCATTAAAAAAATGGTAGGATTAAATAAAGTTAATTCTCTACATGGTGAACTAAGAAAAAAATAATAATGCAGCTCCTTCTTACAAGAAAGTGACATTTTGACTCGGTTTCTTAAGGAAAGCAGACTTCTGTTCTCAGTTTGTGCTCTTTCTAACCACAATGACCACTGAACTAAAAAAAGGTAGTTTTAAAGCAGAAGGCAAGACTGTAATTTGAAGATTCAAGTTTCCATCAAAACAAGAGATGGGGACACCAACACTGGCCTCAGAACAAGAGGCAAGCCCAGCCCCATGGGTACCTGCTGCACTTGGCAGCACCTCAGCCCAGTGTGGCACACCAGAGGCTGGTACGTAGCAACCTCTCTGCTCAACAAGGCTGTGCCAGTAGGTTTTGGCAACCACGTTGGGGTGGTTTCAGTAGCTGTGTTTTTCCTCCCTGGGAAAGGGGTGCATGGAAGCAGATCCTCTGAAGAGCTGGGTGTTGGGATTTTCATCCAAGTGTTTTCCTAATCTAACAGACCAACAGACCTGCTTTGTCCTAAGAGTTGAGTAATACAGGATATTTTTAAGTAGACCTATCCTGTGCCAAAAAAGAAGTTTAACAGACAAAGAACACAACTCTGTTTTCCTGAAGCTAGTCACTTTGTGCATGCAAAAGCCCACAAAACTAAGAAAAGAGCAGGTTCGTGCACGTATGAAACACTTCAGTAACATATTTCTGTAGTATCAAGTATAGGAAAGGGAACTCAGAAGACAGGGTTTTTTTACCAATATGACCAAAATGTGAGGCTAAAGGGGTACTACTCACTCATTCACTGTATTGGAAAAGTTTGTGGCAGTGATTCTCCAGTAACAGCATGTCCTGGCACAAGCATGTTACTGACATCCCCACTCAAGCTAACATGGCTCCCTTGCATTTCCCCTAACCACTGCTAGGCATCTTACAACTCCCAGCTCATTTCTGCTTGACTTAGCTCTGCTCTATAGCTGCAATGGACATATGCTAAGCAAGGATAAAAATACCTGGTCATTACTCCTCTAGTCTTACAGAGGATCCTTGTGTTTTTTTTTTTTTTTTTTTTTGTTTGTTTGTTTGTTTTTGTTTTGTTTTTTTGTTTGTTTGTTTTTTTTTTTTGTTGTTTTTTTTTTTTTTTATCACATGCAACCATACTCCCACTGCCTCAAAGGCTCTACTCCTGCATGCATCCTTCTGCCTGTTGCAACAGGAAAAAAACTTGCTTTTTTGGTCTTACTTTCTTACATAGCCCTCCACCTTCTCAAGTGAGTCTCCTGTACAGTACTTCCCTCCTCCCACCCATCCAGCCCCACACTGACCACTGCCTTCTCCAAAGTTAGCCCTCTCCATTGCTCTGGTCTTCCCCTTGCAAACTATACAGTTTTGCATCTGAGCATATCTAAGGGTGTGTCCCAGTATTTATCTTTAACACCCGCCTTGCTTTTAGCCTTCCATGTGACAAGAGGTAACTATACTACTGGAGAGGACAGTTGCAATACATTTGAGAAACAACCTGTCTATCCTGCAGGCAGAAGCCATACAGAACACTCTGCCTTCTCACCATACTTGGCTAACTTCAGCATGAACTTGGAGCATTCAATGTTGCAGCATGCTATCGAGCCATTTCCATTGCATTTTTTTTTCCTTTAACACCCGAGGTTTCACAGATATGGTATCCTAGAAGGCTTGCACAGGGAATCATTAGATTTAATGATACTGGTGCAAACACATGAAAAGCTTGAGCTTTTCAAACCAGAAGTTCCAATTTTTTTTAACATACCCCGATGATACAGAAATGCATGACATTACTCTGGGAAGCTGGAAAGTTTATTTTAGGTTTAACAGCTATTTTGCAAGGACCATTTTGTTCAGTCCCTTCTGACCTTGTCACCTTGATCCATCTTGAGAAAGGACAATCCCCAGGCAAGCACTCCACTTGCTGCAAACATCTTACAGCATCTTGGCTTTCCACAGACAGAACTGCCTCTCAAAGGGCTCAAGGTTAAAGTTATCACATCCTTAGAGCTGGCAGATAAAGCTTTGGGAGTGATTCCCCCCCAGCTCCCAGCACCTACCAGGTTACTGATTGCCCTTCCTTCACTTCCACAGTGTCTAGGCAGAGATAAGGAAGAAATGAGACCCTGCAAGAACTCCTGATATATGGATGAAAGACTGTAAAAAACAGGAAACTCTGGGTTC